TAGTTATTTTATGGCAAATTACTTGAAATTATAAACATATTATTATCTTTTTGTATTTAATGTTGCAAACATTTCCGATTCGTGAGCGCAATTCAGAATTTTCGATATTTAAAAGAAAGATGAGTTTTTTCGTATTAAAATTAAAAGCATTAGTCTTAAGATTATAATAGTATGTGACTATGTGTGTGAGGTTTTTTACGCAAGTTCAGTGTGAGTCAAGGGCCGTGGCTGCAATTATCAAATTATATCTTACGTCACACTGCTAACCTTAACCTTACGTCGTGAAGGATTCGAAAGCGTTTTAATTGTTTTCATAATAATATTTTTGATTAAATACTGTTATTTAGGAATGATATATTTATGTGCTTTTTGTTAATTATTAAAGTTTTTCTATTTACCCTTAGCTGAGAGTGATGTCTCCGGTATTTTGTTTTCAACTTTACTGAATATAAATTATATTTTATATAAACTTATAGTTACTTACATAACGTATATTTATTTGTATTTGTCGTATAATAATGTTTATAATTTAGGTAATATCAGCAAGTAAACTTTCACGTTATAATTTAGGATATTTCCAAAATTTTTAAGTAGCTAACATTAACAAGTCAATATTTTCAAGCATTAGGTACTTATGATTCGCAATTTCGATACACTGACTCACTCAGCGAAAGTAAAATGAAATAATTTGAAATTTTAGTTATGTTATGATTTTGATGACAATTTGTTTTTTTTTAATGCTGATTATGTTATGTGGTGATTATGACCGTAACTTAATTTTTGTGCGTATAAAACTAAATTGGTTAAGTATCATATAACAGATTTAATTAATGGAAGTTGAGTCCTTAGTTTCATCTTGGGGTATTAAACCGGAAACATCTTTAAAAATAATTAAATTTTCCACATTAGACCGAAGCAGGTTTGATAATTGAAAATTCTATTTAACCTTGACCTGTAGGAAACGGAAGTGCAATCAAGGTCACGGGGAAATGTTCGGCGGGTATCGTGACTTAGCGGCGCACGCGTCGAAAATGTCAAGATCTCGACGTCACTACAATCAGTTCAAGCTCTAATGATCGTGATATGATACGCTTCAAGCTGTAAAAGAAGGTATTGTGTAGGCAGCACAGGTTGTACGATATACATCCGTGTGAATGACTGCTTCAATGATATGGTAGTTACAGACGAGGCTGTGAATCACGAAGTCTTATGTTAAGAGAAGAGTTGTTTGTGTTTTTTTTATCAAAAAGTAAGTAATTTTCGTGGACTGATGTTAAAATTCAGATCTATCTGTTATATGTTCTGCCAAAAAGTCATATTGGTACGCTGAAGTACAAAACCATGTAAAAGTATGTATGTGCAATAGTTAATTTGATTGCAATGATTTATTTAGGTGAGTAATCAGGAATTTAAATACATATTTTAGATTTGCCATTGTCACAAACACCAAATATGAACTATTGACTTGTTGTGATTACAGGACAACTAAAAGCTAGACAAATAAAAAAAATAATCAATGTAAATGCAAGTCAAATCCATTACTGGAGCATTTTCCAAGAACATTGTTTGCATTTCCTGTATTGGTAAGGAATACAATAGAATCCGGAAACCAAATAAGACATGCTTGCTATGCAAAATGCAAATAAATCTTTTTAATGACATCTTTGTTTTTTTTGTCTGATTTCGTTCAATTATGTACTACTGATTACATGTAATTTTAGTATTGACGAAAAGTAAAGCTAACGATCAGCTCGAAGTAAACTTGATAGTGGTAACTCTTCAAAACAAAGAAGATTTCATATTTCTAAATGGAACCCTTTGACCTCAAGTTCAGCAGTCCTGATTTCGACCGCTAGTGCAATGAGGTAGTTGATTGTTTATTGTATCTAAGCAGCATAAGTCATAATCCGTGATTCATAAGTACGCCACAGGGCATCGCGCACGATTGTTGTGAAATGCATTTCAAGGATATTTTACTAAGAGATCATTGCATCGATTGGCTTATCGAGCGTTTTCCTTGATAAATAGGATGTAACTCGTAGTATGATTATAAGTAAAAAGGAATTTAATTTATTTATATTTAATTGTTATTTATATAGCACCTTCACCTATACTACTTTTGAGTTTTCAAGCATTTTGACCGTCTTCTATAAATCAATATTACATCGATAATGGGATGGCGTTTAAATCACTTCTGTCAACATAAAATCATTAACGTTTTTGACTGCACGGTTGACGAGGTAGCTGGGCAACTAGCTGCCGCGCAACGGGCCGCGGGTTCGGTGCTTGCGCGGAACAACTCTTTGTGCGATCCACAGATTTTGGTTCCGGGTGTGGGTATCATGTATATGTAAACTTGTATGTTTATAACCGTACTCATAACACAGAAAACTCTAGTGTGGGCAAACGTTCTTTTTTAATAGAGAAAGAAAAAAGGAAAAAATAATTGGCATCTTGTAGACTGAAATGGTAATCGTTATTTATTGTATTTTGCCAATCGTTCAATCTCAATATCAACAGTTCCTTGTGAATCTTGCTCACACAACATGAACGTTCTCGATAAAGTACACTAACTCGTAATCACAATTCGTGACCGACTCACACGCAGGATGTACTTGGTGACAATAAACACACAGTAACCAGTACATATCCTTGTTGTAAAGATAACCTAAGTAATATACCACCGGATTTAAAAGTGTACAGCAATATATATCCTGGGTATTATACCTGAAGGACTAAAATACTTTGTTCATGCATAAACCAAGTTGCCAAGTCCGTGTATGCAGGCGTATTTTACACATCCGCATGTTGTGACTTTAGCAATAATATTTATCATTTACTTTGCCAACTGGAATCAATTAATGTTGTAAATCTACGTAATCAGATTACGGATCTAATTAAGTCATTAGAATATGTTGTTATGGAGAAAATTTAAAACTATAAATAGTCGTTTTAAACTATAAATAGTCTGTAAAGTGTATTTTTGTGACGGATAAAAACATAACATAACGTAATACGTAACATTTACGCCTTTTTATTCCCGAAGAGGTAGGCAGAGGTGCACATTACGGCACTTAATGCTACTGTACAATGTAACACCTACTTTTCACTTCTTATGTTATGAGTCCCATATAATAGTGGGTGAGTCTATTGCCATATACAGGGCACAATTCCAGACTCCGTGTTAAAACTGATGATACTATCGTGAAACTTTGCCCGACTCGAGAATCGAACCCGAGAGCCCTTGTCTGGTAGTCGCACTTGCGACCACTCGGCCAGCGAGGCGGATAAAAATTGTGTAATATTTGATAATTCAAAATAATTCGTACTGCTCTACGAGATCTCGCGCTCAGAAAATTGTAAAAGTACATTCGTGAAATCTATAGAAATTAAAAAATATATTTGCCATTATTAAATTAAAACACTGGCACATATACTAAAAATACTATTGCACATACTTATGATGTTAAGAAGGCCGAAATATAATAAACAAAATCATAAATTAAAATCCGTATAATAAAATAAATTCCAATTATATTTCAAGGTTCTACACCAAATACTAGATTTGCTATGATGTATTCATTAAATGTTATTTGTGTACTTTTTAAAATGCATATTTATTTAGGAATTACGTGCAAATCAATTGCAAATAAAAAAGTACTTGTAAGTTGCATTAAATTAACAAAAAGCGACATTGAAGATCATTTATTTCATTCGTAGAAATAAAAATAAAAATGATAGCATTTTAATTGCCTCGTCCTCAAAGAACGATTGCTGAAGTTGAAGTGTCGGATTTGATGAAACCAAATTATCTTTAGCAACTTGAATTAACTGACTAGTTATTACAAAAACATTTCTAGCAACTTATTTACGTTAGGTTTCTAAATTTTTTATGTAGTGCTGGGAATTTCTCCTGATTTTTATTGTTAGACTTGTAGTCACGAGGCTACGAGAAAGAAACCGAATATCAGGTTAGCCCCAAATGGCTTTTTTTAGCGGGTACATTACTCAGATATTTATAACAATAGTACCAATTCGAGAAATTATGTCTAATTTGTAGTCAAAGTCTAATACTATACACTATTGTAATATAATTAATCATCAGAATATTTTATAAACATTCGAAAGACGTCATTAAGAGTAAACGCCTACACAAGTCTCATTATATTATTAAAAAAACTAAATGCTCGTATAACTTTGGACTTTTAACTTAGCAATAGAAATATTTTACATGCGAATTTCGTTAATTATCGACCATTATTTATTTACAGTAATTGATTGTTAGAAATAAAAGTTTATGATGACAACATAATTTGTGGTAGGTACAGAACAGTACAGTACGTATATATAACATAATTATATCTATTTATGTTTGTGAATATGTATGTAAGGTACATGTCTAATGGATTACCTTTTCAGTTCTTTAGTTTACTAAGAACATGTATTTTAACCAGACCGATAATTTAATATCCACCAAATATATAGGTAAAAAAGACGTTTATTATGTCTTTCTGAATCAATAAAATTATAATGATTAAAACATTTGTATATATTACGGGTCTGTTTATAAATTACGATTGGAATATATCGGGTTACGACTTGTAGGAGCGAAACAAAATATTATTCAAAATTAACTGATTTATGTACAACCGGCCGGACGCCGTTCTTGTATTCGTATAATACATAATGTAATTTCGAGTCCCATATAATATAAAAAAGCTGGCTATTTCTTCGGACAGAAAATAAGTATTGCCATTCAACGTGGCAATGCTGCCCGTCTCCTGGGAACGTTCCCCTGTGATAGTGATGCGGACGGATATTTTGACGCCTAAATTGAGGATATAATTTTTGTTGTTTCCCTTTTTCTAATCTCGTTTTATTTATTAGTTTATTTGCAGATAATTTTAAATTTTAAATTTTTATGTAGTTATAAACAATGTAATAGATTTTCGCAATAAAAAATAAATATCGTTTCACATATAAAAAAACAGTAAACTCACCTGGATCACAGAACACCGGTATTAAAACTTGTAGTGTTGAGACCAATATCATCAGGAGCCATATTCGACTCCCTACCGTATCCGGCGCAGCCATGTTATTTTTTTAGAACCTGAAAAAATATATCAATTATAAATAAAACTAAGATAATGAACAAAACAATCACGATTTTATACTAACAAAAAATACGTTAAAAAGTTAAAATTAACAATGGCGTCTTATATTGTACTTTTACGTAAGACCTACGCTGCGGCTACGCTGTGGTTATGCGGTGACTACGCGATGGGTACGCAGTGACTACGCGATGACTATGCCGTGGCTATACGGGGTGAAAATTACATAGTGACTATGACATTCCCCATAGCGTCAAATACGATCTTTCATACCGTCTAACAGATAAATTGTATGAGGATTAAATAAATTTACACAACACGTACTTTGAAGGAAGTGTGTAGGTGGCACATTTGTAACAGGACATCATTGCTGGGTATCTAGGATCTCTTTGTACGACTCCGACAAATTTAAATCTATTAGTTCTATGAAATTTTAAATAAATAAGTACAAATTGACGATAAATTATTTACTTGAATGACATACCTATTTAACTATCACCTCTAAAGTGTTGTTAGCTTCCAATTTTATTGTTTCTGAACTTTTAATAATAACATTTCACTTTTTATTTTCAATAACAAAAGAAAAATTATGTAAAATAATTTGAGTATGTACAAAGGGCATTGATTAAAATTGGTGCCTTTCTTTTTTCTGGCGGCAGTCGATGATTTATGGAAAATATTATCTAGAATGACATTACAAACGAAATTGTCTATGGGCTCATATATGGAAATCTCAGTCTAGACTGAGTTATGAGCGTTGAAAGGATCTGGAGTCAAACATTTTACTTCGGTTTTTTATTCAAATTATTCATATTTTTGTCACAATTTCTAACTTCGAATTGCGCGCCACTGTATTCCAGGCACAGGAAAACCATATCACACCACAATATATTCATTTTACCAGGCACTAATTTTTATTACCTATTTTCTCTCAGTCGATAACTTGTGGGATGCTTCTAGGAGTTGTGTCATGAAGCTTCATGAGCGTCAGCTGTGGTACCAGTGGTGGGTTGAGTAGTGGTAACCGTCCAAACATCTAATAAAGTATTTTTTTTTTGCCATTGACTCCTGGTGGGAGACTCATCTACTTTATAGTTTGCATAATCTTTTGAAGAAAGGAAACCGTCGACTTTTAAAGTGATGAGCGCTAATTAATCCGCTATCGACGCCGCAGCTGACGAACATAGCATTTCATGATAGGGCTCAGTAAGGTATTTTGCGGGTTTTCGACTGAGAGGAAATTGATCATGAAAATCTGTCATAGGCCATAAACCGTATACATATAAAGTGAATACGCTAGCCAATCAAGCGAAATGTTTTTTTTTTACTTGAGCAGTTTAGCCAGTTAACGGTTCACTCTGTTCTGGTTCCGTGGTCATAAAGCCAAACACAAAAAAAAAAAAACAAAAAAAAAATAGTCTACAATAAGCTTTATTACATTCCTTGAAATCGTTTATAATCATTTATTAAAAAATATTTCTGACAAGTAAATGAAGTTAAATGCGTTGTGTACTGGTCACCATCAACAAATAACAGGAATAATATAGCACTATTTTCACATCTTTGAACTGATTTAACTCGGTTCGGACTGTGTTTTTGGTATAAGACCCCATATATTTTTTTGTTTGTAATGTTATTCTGCATCAGTTTATCCACATTTGATCAACTGCCGCGAAAAAATTAAAAGGCACCACGCTCCATACAAATTTGGTCATTGTCATTTTGAGTGAATGACGACTAAAAATAGCGGGAATGTGGTGTTCTCATTTTGAATTAATACAGATTATACTACATGCACATTAGTGAATCAGTAAAAAGAATATAACCAGCCAGTCTTATTATTTTTTAGGCATCTTGAAAAAGTTCCGTGTCAAATGTAATGTTCCTAATACTGGTAGGAATTTCAAATGTTCTTTATTGACAACGTTAAAACATAAAAACAGCCTTTACCCTATACCACAGCATTTTGAGCCGAAAGGTTGATGAACTTTGAGGTGTTTACGCGGAAGTTTACATACAAGGCGAAGTGGTGTCAACTGTAATTTCTGACTTAATCATTAAACTGACATTTTACACCCATGTCAACAATTTCAAAAATGATTAATACCCTTAAAGGTGTGGAGCAGACGCGTTATTGTAAAGTTATGGGCTTTCCACTTTTATTAAGGACGACTTGTCTATCTTTTCTTGGTACGCAAATTGGTGCATGTTGGTTCATTTCTTACACTTTTTTATCTGTAAGGACATATTTACTCATTCGTTTAGTCAAAGCAGATGAATATATTGTATGTTTTCTTTAAAATACAAAACTTAATGGCGATATTTAAAACGTTAATAGATATGTATACTGATTAACTCGTCGAGTACCGGTTTTGTAGACACAATTATAGAACAATAGGTTGCGGTCACCGGTGACCGCTTGGTGTTTGACAGTTTAATAAACAATCTCGTTGTGCTACCTACATTTAAAGCAAAATCACCAGCTTAAACACACACGCAATGAGTTCTTAGTGTAGGTTTAGACATAAAATATCCTTTTTAAGATTGTAACTAGAGCAAATCGTGTAGTTTACATACATGACATAAACCTTGTATCAAAGATGAAGCTCGAAGGTAAACTAAACAACGAGCTATACATTTCCAGTATAACCTGACCCTCAAATGTGCGGAAAGATCTTACAAAGAGAGATCATAATAAATTGGTTTTGTATAGTTCGATGTGCATATAGCGGTGTGTATAGATAGGCGTTGTAATATTAGCAATAAACAGTTAACCTAATTACATTACACGATGTAATATCCCATAAAATGTGGCCTCCATACAAAATTAAATTAACATATCACTACTGACTGGTATGGACAATGTAACAGGTATTTAATACCTATGATGTGTTTGCAAATTGGTTACTTGCCAATTAGTCAAATTCAATACTTTTTTCGAACTGTTAAAAATAACAGTTTTCTATGAATTTTGTACGAGATTGTGTATTGTGTTTAGCGTCAAACAGCGAACTTATTTCATAAAATATTGCTGGAAAAATACTAAAATTAAGTTGGTCATAAAATCAACTAATGACAATGTGATTATTTTTCAATATTTATTGTATTGAACAGTAGAAATAATTTATTTTTGATTATGGAAATTACACATTATTATTTGCAGTTAAAATTGCAGTTATTCAATTAATTATTCAAAGTATCTTATTCAGTGTAACTAAGCTTCCGATATGATAAGATTCTCAATTCACCGGAATATTTAATTGTTATCTATAATACTTAATTAAGTAAAAACGCGGGTTACTCACGTGAATATACTGAGAAAAGCTCTACTAGTTTCGAACCATAGAGGGATTCTTCCTCATGAGCAGCGTGCGCGGTCGCGGCGACGTCGCGCAGCTCACTGATCACTGACGCGTTTTTACTTAATTTAGTATGTCTCACGATAGTTATTATAAAAACATATCTATAATACCTATTAATAAAATATAAATTATGATTATTGCATTTTGCATTAGTGACGTAATTGCAAATGTTTAGAGAATAGCGCCAAAATTATAAACATTCTAATTTTAAATAAGTAACACGGAAAACAAATTAATGTTACCAGCCAGCATTTTTTATTCATTTCAATAGTATGTGCATTTAAATATTATTTATTGAGGTTTATATTTGTGCCTATTATGACTGCCTCGTTGGCCGAGAGATCGCAAGTGCGACTACCGGGAAAGGGGTCTCGAGTTCGATTCCCGGGTCGGGCAAAGTATTACTGGGTTTTAAAAAAAATAAAACAAACGGAATCTAGAATTGTGCCTGGTATATGGCAATAGGCTCACCCCTTATTACATGGGACTCATAACATAAATAGTGAAAAGTGGGTGTTACATTTTACAGTGGCATTAAGTGCCGTGATGTGCACCTCTGCCTACCCCTTCGAGGAATAAAAGCGTTATATTATGTCCATATTTGTTAAGAAGGCGTCTTCCTACCTCTATATTAAAAATAAATAATGTACAAACGTATAAAACTATATTTGGTAGTAGATAGTTTTGATAACCTTATCGCTGCGGTCAATGTGGGTTTCGATAAGTGTCTAACCCTACATAACCGCAATTTAAGTGCTAAACTGAAGGATGATTCTCAGAAAAGGTACGGCTGGTGGATATCTCATGTCTATATTAGTATGTGAGTCAAGTCGGATGTGTTTTTGGTATTGTGGAACATAAATAGTTTAGAGAAGTGTTAAAGTATTTTATGGAAAGTATTTAGGTAAACAAAAAACATTGTGTATAAAGTCGGTGGAACGTTTAAAATGTTTAATTACCCTTTAGAATCTGTCCTGTGTTATTTTGTTTTTGTTATTTTATAACACACTAGCGACCCGCCCCGGCTTCGCACGGGTGCAATATGCATGTATTATACATACAAACCTTCCTTAAGAATCACTCTATCTATTAAAAAAAACCGCATCAAAATCCGTTGCGTAGTTTTAAAGATCTAAGCATACATACGGACATACAGCGAAAGCGACTTTGTTTTATACTATGTATTGATTGATCTTGTAAATATATAAAATTACAAACACCTTAATAAAAACCATATTGCTTCTAATATAAAGATATTGTTGTAAAATGCTAATTGTTGTTATTTTTAAAACATACGAAAGTTACACGACACCTGTCAAACGTGATTTCGCTTACAATTAACACTAAAACTTATTATTATATTCTAAAAATTATCTAGTCACGTAACATTAATCATTTGAATATACATTGCTCGTTTACTAGAGACAAACAATAAATTAGATTAAAGTCAACGCGCAATGTATAAATTACAATGTGCAAATCTCGTTGCAACTTTGTCTACTCATACCTATAGATGAGGTTGTAACTAAGCAGGGACGTTCACTTGCTAGAAACATGAATATTAATAAAACTTGAAGCTGATTCACACTTCGCAGAGATTACAATAATGTTACAATCGTAAAGCTGGTAATACACGGTACTTACTTATTGGATTTTTACACTACGTGTATTAAACTGTCAAACACCAAGCGGTCACCGGTGACCGCAACCTATTGTTCTATAATTGTGTCTATAATGACGGTACTTGACGAGTTAAATACTTTACAATCACGCATTTCGGTTCCCCGAAGAGGGTAGCTATAAAAGCACGAATAAAATGGTTAACATTCACTTTTTATCAGATACAACCCCATGAAAGCGAATTAATCCTATGTTTTCTGGGGTGCTGTCATCTACTATCCAACATGGGATTACATACATTGCACAGAGTGCAATACGAAACTATTATTCAAAAACTCTTTGGCCTGTCTTGACCAAGGTGTGAAACTCGTCTAACCTCAGTAGTTGTTGTGGTTACTCCAACCAAGCAACAAGACAGGCGATTAAAATAAGGTTTATAATCACAAAACAACAAACGGTAATGCGTTTTTACACAATAAAATGACAATAAGGTAAAGAAGAAATCGTCACAATGTGTACAGAATACTAACAATGCATGGGGTGAAATCGTCAGTTTAATAGAAATAATGACATTGTAACGATGCAATGTATAAATAATATGGACATGTTCGCAAATAATGTTCTGCGATGTTTGAATCGACCTATTATGCTAATTTACTACGTATAATTACTACTATAATAGTTTTAGTAGTAATAGTAACGAAGCGAAGGATTGCCGAAAAAGTGCCATTTGGCTTTTTTATGAAATAGAAGGCAAACGAGCAGACGGATCACCTGACCTGAGGTAAGCGATCAGCGCCGCTCATGGACATCCGCAACATTAGAGGAGTTCCAGGTGCGTTGCCGGCCTTTTAAAAAGGAATACGCGTTTCATTGTCTCCTTACCACACTGCTCAATGGAAAAGTATACCAGAAAATTTGGCACAACAATGACCTAGTGTCATTGTTGTGCCAAATTTGTGCCTTCAGTCATACGTTAAATTCATATCAGCTGGTGCTTGTTAATATGTCTCATTTATCAAAATGGCTGACATGTAAAAAGTGACAGTTATTATTTGTCATACAAACTTTGACCTTTATGCCAATCGGTTTTGGTTTCGGATAATACTTTCTTTGCCACAGTTTATATTACTACGTTCACTGTTTGACCTTATGACCGTAAAGTAACTGTCTACTGTTTGTACCTGTTTCAATATGAATATTAAAGTCTCAGGTTGAATTCGAACAAAAAGTGCAAACTTGTAAGGCGGGAACTGGCTGTAAGGTTGTATTTTAGTCTCGTGTTTTTATGCTTGAGGTATTGGATTATTAGAACTTATAGAAAACCTGTATACCTTAAAGTTTTTTGTCGATTGAAGTTTAGTTGATCGAATGTTTTAACCATCCCCAAATGGAATTGTGTTGCTGTCACATATTTACTTTTATATTATCACTAACTGGGATAGTTAGCTATTTTTACCATTTATTAAACCACAGCTAATGACACTAAACTTAATCTCCCTATATGGTATGAGAAAATGTCAAGGATCAAACACAAGGAACCATTTGCATTCGAACTGGTTTCACATTTTATTGTAAATGAAATCTTATGAATTTTCCGCATATAATTACAATGAACAAATATTTTTTGTCATATCGTCTGCAAATTGAGCATAAAATCTGATAACAATAGGTAGATAGATGAATACTTAATTTATGGTAATTAAATAAATGTTTTAAACTTTATATTCTAAATATGGCTATATAAAATATATTTTCCTTGAAATTTGTGATTGAAAATACCTAATAAGGACATAGGTCCTTATTAGGTATAATATAAGGTATAACGTAATAGTACGTTATTTTCTTCACAATGTAGAATAGAAACTCTTCTATACATCTAAGCGAAGTCGTAAACTTAAAATCAAGTCAGTATATCATGCTCGCGTTGAGCGCGTTGCCATATACTTGTTTTAGAAGGGATCAAATGCCTACACCTGCCAAGTGTTCGATTGAGCCAAAAGGCTTTATAGGTTGACAGCATGTACCAGGCTCATTAGGTTTTATAATGACAACATATCACAAGGACGTCGCCTCACTCGGAAAGATGTACGCCGAGATGTCTGGCCTACATTATTATAGTGTTGTGCAATACCAGATTCACTCGCATAGTCACCCAGTAACGTAGGTACACGAACGTATTACGTGAAACTTACATTGTTCGAAGATAAAACACGTCGCGAATATGAAATCGTGAGTGATGATATTTAAGACTATTACAGAAAAGGTCGCATTGTGAGAGAATACTAAGTGGAAGGGACAACTACTTTGCATTCTGAACAAATAATAGACATGGATATTCCCCAACTTGAAGTTCAAGTACTGACTAAACACAGTGAGTATTGAAGTAAGTTCCAAGCCAACAATGGTGTGCCTGTATTAAACCATTACTTGAGGTCGGACGAAACAATAACATTCTTCAAATACCAAATCTTAAATTAAGTGTTTTGGGCAAGTACAGTAATTACAACAATAAAACCCATTACATATGGACGTTAATTTTTTCTCATGATGATCCGATAAGTGTTTGAATTATTAAATAAAATAATGGTTGGTCATGTATAATTGCGCTTGGGCAAGCGGCGCGTGAATTTGACCCATTTGCCGACAAGGCCGACTTGCCAAACCACCAGTAAGCATAGTGCTTATAGTGCAACAATATCTTCTGCCGCATCAGATACGTACATATTATTAAGTATACTTTAGTTATGAATGTTGTTCAGGAATTCCCTAATGTGACATTTTACGTTCGATCTAGAATATACTGTTGATAAAAGTTAGTATATACAAATATAAAAGAATTTGAGATCAATTTCATGTTCACGAATTTCTTAGAATGTGCGTCAAGTGGGTCAGAAGGCGCAATATCATGTCACCTTCGTTTCTTCGATCCTCCGCCATAACTCACATGTGTCACTTATCACACAACAAATACGTGATATTTACCTCAAGGGGCCCTTGATATTAGAATCTTTATTTATAAACTCTTCAAAGTAATTAAAAAAGATGTCCAACAGTTTAACAATCTCACAAAGAATTCGAAAGAGATTAATTATGAACGAGGCGATAGTAACTTTGCTGATTTTATGCAAATACGACTTTAATGACCAAATAAAATAGAAATAATCTTGTATCTAACAAAATCGTTAATTTAGATTGACGATCGTAACGGTTATGTTATTTTATTACAAAATCACATTATTGGATCGAATTACAAAAATATGTTGTGAGTGTATTAGGTATCTGCATATAGAAATTAAAAGAAATGTAGCAATGAACTACTGCATGACCTAGGAGTACTTATAGCAAAGACTAGAAGTTAGTACACCTGGTACAAAAACTTTATAAACAAGTTGAATATCTTCAGAAAAACAATAAAAACAAAAGACAACCGCATAAAATCATCGCCTGGTGATTAATAAGTACATCAAAGTGACATAATATGTAACTGTTGAGGTGTTGCATTTATTGTTTATGCACGTTACGACCTCCGGCACATGCCGCCTTCGTATTGTAATAGGTCATTGGCAGGATGTCAAAGAGGATACTCAGTACTACTCAGTAGTGAATCACACGGAGTTGGATTCGGTGAACCTCGAAGGTTCCTCAATCAACTCATGCAACACACGGATGCCATGGAGTCGGTGGTAATCTAACGTAACTATAATTAGTAGTGATTAATAGTTCCGTCTTCAGTGCGTCAGTAAGTCTATCTATTCTTTGTTAATGTCTTAATCATGATGAGTCCAAAAAAGTTTGTCTTTAAGTAATTTAAACTTAAATTAAAGGGATTTATTTACCATTTAAAATTATTTCAGTAATTGAATTTTTACCTGACTGAAATGAACCAATTTTACGTTTATTTTTAACTCGATCGAACATCAGAATTCCCAAGAAAAGTATAAAAAAGTACCTTTCATTCAATTCGCAAGAGGAGTAAAGCAAAGTTGCCCAACTGTCACCTTGTGAATCACTTACTCGCGGTTGGTCACGTACCTTTGTTACGGCTCGTCTGACTGCGGAAATACTTTTGGATAATCCAAAATAGAACACACCACCCACATTAACTTTACAATTGAAATAATTACTCATCAGTTCTAAACACAAAGCAGTTCTAAACATTAAATCCTTGAGCATTAAATGCCGTTAAATACAAGTTTCAATGCAGTGTGCGGTTTGGTCGGCCTTTACACATTTTGCGGGATACCTTGAATCGATTATCAGCTTTATCTCGCTTTGTCAGCCCAGCTGATCTCAAAATGCCGGTCATACTCAGACCGGTCCGTGCTTAACTGTTCATCTAATGTAACTGTTCAGACAAATATTGTAAGTGTGCGGTAGGTTAACTTAAAGAGGACAACATGGTATTGTTACAAACTTTTCAATTAATATGCTAATTGTACCTACAGTTTCTTTCTCTTGTTATGAAAAACGTATGTTTCTAATTCTCGTAGACAATTAATATGAATTAGGACTTTTGCCGGTAGACAGGGAGACTGACGTCCAGTCAGTCTGGTCGCGTCCTTGCGTTCACTACTAACGTTTGCGCCCACTTCTTATCATCTAATGTCATCGTCTAATGTAGAATGGACCATGACTAGTAGAAAGGTAACAGACTCACCTCTTAATTCCACAAAAGCATCACTTTGGTGTACAAACTAAATTGATTGTTTCAGTCACGACACCCCATACACTGTCTCCGGTCGGATGTTATCGATGTAGTACACAAATAGTTCACACGAAAACTGTTTACGGAGCGAAAGCGGTTAATGTTTGTACGCGGAAGTGTGGGTAGTGGTCGATGTTGTCGCGCCAGCGTCGAAGGCGGTCGACTCGCGCGCGGCTGCGTGTGCGACTCGCGGCGACGCTCGTTTCACCGGCAGAGGTGTCGCGAGGAGAAAGTCTCGGCCGTGGTGCGCCCGCGTCGGTTGGCCGACAGCGCCGCGACGTGGTGGGGCCGTGACGTCGCTCGCTAAACCAACAGCCACCTGAGCATCACCAGCGATTGCTTCACTACTCCACGCAAGTCATTGTTGCTTGCATTGAGATGAACAGCTAATGAGTTGTATGATATCTGTTATGTGTGCATTAGGAAATCGACGGTTTGAAATATTTTGGCAATATAAATAATAACGTTATCAGCAAATCAATCAAATCAGTATTGACTAAACGGCTGTCTGTTTTTAGTAAATGTAAAATGTTGAAACACTTGTTACATACATCAAAACATTTTTAATAAATATTTAAATACATGCAGCAACCGTATGGACTCATAGCCGCAAGCGTAAGCTCGCGAATACATACAGTCTTCATAAAATGAATTTGTAGTCTTTGGTGTCGTCTATTGTTTTTTCATGTGAACTCTGTAACTGTTGTAAATGAATACGAATGAACGCAGCGGTCGACATATCGTATAATTTAACCAATTAGCCGATGTTCCCACGGAACTCCTCACATCCCCTCGAGACGTGAACATACGCGAAACATGTTGAATGAATTGAACGTATAGGAATGGAGCGTAGCAATGGAAGAAACGTGTCTCAACACTCAATTAGTTATCGGGAAACACTAGTAGTTAATCATGATTTAGTTATTATGATAGTAGCCGATGAAAAGGAATTAGGGCGTAGTTCCTTCGGCAAGGTAATCTAATCATTAATACTAGTTATTCAATGAGTGATTACTATCCGGAGGCAGCGAAATAACTTCATAGCGGTCAGGTCATAACTAGACCAATGAGATGACGAAATCAAAAGCATGTGGTTACCATGAACAAAAGGAACTTGTCTAACATATCAAGTAACAAATTAAAGGGGAGATTTAGTTTGAGGAATCATCGGCGTCATTAAAAATATTTATTGCGGTAGTTTGCTTAAAGCAACAGACAAAGCTCGAGGGAGACGCGTTTTACATTCTTGATGACAAGTTACCCATTCGCCAGAGCAGGGGCGGATTTAAAGTATAAACAAGTAAATCAATTTCGATATTTTCGATCAGTGAAGCTATTTTCGTATAATTCACAGCGATATATTAGGTACCTAATTTTATATCATTTTCACAATAACAATGTACTTAATTAACATTACGAGAAATTGCGAATTTTACGATCATGTTTTTAATATTTTGTTGTTGTGAAGAGGCGAATAAATGAATATGCTTCTTCTTCTTCATTTGATATTTAATTAGTTCAGTTTGTCACATTAGTAACAACACTTAGTGAAATTGACTACCAAGGTAAAGAAATGTATACCTTAATAAATTCTGTCCATAAATTTGATATATTTTACAGAGCAAACAAAAATATAAAACAGTAACTTTCTCAAGTCCCAAGTACGTTCCTGTGACATTGGCAGCCATCTGTTTATACAATTATCGGCTAAGAGCGAGTCAGTGGCGCGCGCTGTTCTTCCTAAATGACTCCTTCATGAGCGATATCCATCGGGATACTTATTAGTGGGCCCACATACGTTCCCCGATTAGTACGCATCCTGCATCCGAACTGGAACAACTTTCATAAGAACTTGCAAAATAACTTATTATCAAAAATCGTACGATTCATTTTGTATAAAAAGTTTTATTTATTCGTACATTTAGGTTACAATGCAGAATTTCCTAAACTATCAGTGTACGGAAGAAACATGGGAACAGCGCATGTTTTCCGTGAATTCGTACCAACATTCGGATTCCCAGCCAGCCGCGAAGCAAAGGTGTCAGGCGAATGCGCGCGAGAGGGACCGGACACAGAAGTTAGTATTTTTACTATTACTGTTACTTTTGCCTACCCTTTCCACAATAATAGCAATTAATTGGATACTTTCCTTAATCAAAAATAAATTAATTGGACTGTTCAATACAATGAAATATTAAAAAATAATCACACTTTCATTATTTGATTTTACGACCAACTTAATTTTAGTATTTGTCCAGCAAATTTTTAAGAAACAAATATGCTGTTTGACGCTAAAAAATCATGACGTCACAATACACCATCTCGTATAATTCATAAAAAACCGTCGTTTTTGACAGTTCTATAAAAGTATTGAATTTGAATAGTTGATAAGTACCCAATTTATTGGCACTGTATTATAATTATACACTCACCTACGGGGATACTTTTAAAATACTACATATTTACACTAAATATATTTGTAATACTTGCCTCCCTAATCTGTGTTATTGGAACCTTCACATCAAATCTAAATTATGTGTTTCTTAGTGGATGTATAGTAACTACATCAATACATTTTTTTCATAATTTATACATATGTAGGAACCATATTAAGTGCTTGGTAACACGCAGTTATTGTCATTTTAAGTGCTTCAGAATTTAGGTATTGATTTGTGATTCTAATAATTTTATCCCACGATTCCTTAATGACGATCACTTTCAAACGCAGATATATAAAATAAATGATGTAATTTAATTGACAAGGCTATAAGATTACTTAAGTAAGATATCGTTTGTTGAGATAAGATCAGAATCCTCACATTTGGCGCCGACTGGCTACTGTATTTTAAAGTTTAAAACAGACAGGTATTAGATTGCAAATGGCATTTAGTAATATGATTTGCCAGCGTTTTTGTACCTATTATATTATTTATATTATTTTCACGTTTCAGATTACTATCCTACTAGTTATATTATATCTATCTTTAGCTTCTTAAATATTTATGATTTTGTACGTGACTGACTTCTTTCAATTTGTACGTGTATCCAATTTTGGTATTAAGTGACGATAATGTTTGATTATACACGAGGTACAATTTTGTAACGTTTTGATGGTTTGGAACAAATCATTATACCTTAGAACTGTGTTGTTCTTAGCAAAGGGAATTTAGTGATTATAGTAAAATTATTGAATGTATAATAGGTACTGTTGTATTAATGGGCGATTATTAATCCATGGGCAGCACTTACCATCAGGTGATCCATCTGCTAGTTTGCTTCCTATTCCAACAAAAAAAAGTTTCGACTTTACCTAACCACTGTCTTAATTATCACTTTATCATGATTAATTGACTGCCTCGTTGGCCGAGTGGTCGCAAGTGCGACTGCCGGGCAAGGCGCCTCGGGTTCGATTCCCGGGTCGGGCAAAGTATTACTGGGTTTTTAAAAAAATCTCAGTAGTAGCACAGAGTCTGGTATTGTGCCCGGTATATGGCAATATGCTCACCCCCTATTATATGGGAATCATGACATAAATAGCGAAAAGTGGGTGTTACATTGTACAGTGGTATAATATGCACCTCTGCCTACCCCTTTGGGGATAAAAGACGTGATGTTATGTTATATTATGTTATGTTATGTTAATTTCTTTCTAAATAATTTGAAATAGAATTGTTATCAAAAGATTTGTATTTCTAAGCAGCGTCAACATAGCATTCAACACACTGCGGCTGCTCATCCCTACGGAACCACCAGATAGGAAGCTCAGCAAGATCGAGATCCTTCGCCTCGCTGGCAGCTACATCACACACCTCGACAATCAACTTTATACCGGTAACATTAACGTTCATTATCCCCTAATTACTATTAGATCCGGCTTTTAAACTATATTTTAAGTAGATAAGAAATAGGTGGGCCGAGGCTAATTGTAATCTGATGCAATCAGAGCGGTTTTAGTTTTGTGGTCTCTGAATTGATGTGGCCTTTGTTAGGCTATTGGTGTAATGTGTGTTGAGTACATTCCATTATTTGTATTCTATATTTGTAGATATCCTGATGTCCGTGTTGATATAGATCATGTTTGTTCTTAACGCTCATTGTCTAATTTAGTTTCGATAGCATATATTTTAAGGTGATTTTTTCACATGTGAAGGCTTTTAGATTTTAACGATCATTATTTCATAGATATGCTTGATTGTTTGACTCATTGAACCCGTTGTTTACTCTTTCTTGGTTGCAAGTCAGAACAGAAGATTCGATGCCTCGATCAAAATATGATAGAGGTTTAATATTTCTAAACTCTTGATATCAAGAATTAACTTATTTTTGGACACAGATACATTCGACAAACTTTTCTCACTGTTCCTTTACTACCTTCCTAAATTTCTAAACCTTAATTTAAACTACGTAAGTGTAATAAAAAATGTTCTATCTTCCAGGAGACTTGGAGCAGCCCTGTTTACAGAAGAATGACGTAAGCGACCAAGATAAATCACTGTGCACTTTTTGTTGGTCGGCCGTTAAAAAAGACGTAAGTGTTAAAACAGATCTTGTATAAAAAACTTCATTACTTTTTGTATAAGACATAAATAATTAACGTAAAAAGTCTGATCGTAATATTATATGGCTTGTAATAAATAACTAAATCACGATTTTCCGACGTAATTATTAACTCGACATAGGCATTAAATGTGGAATGTAATCATGTGATTATATAAGGAATAACCTCATTTTCTGTGAGTTAATTGTCGTGTTTAGCACTTAACCACAGAAAAGGCAAAAAATCTTAAACAAAATTTTGGTTTAAATTCATAACAGTATAACGTCCTGCCTGCCTATACCAGAACCTAAAGAAGCATAAAAAACATCAATATTTCACCAGTAGTAAAACCTTAAACAAGATGACGACCCAAAATTTCGAATATCACGCTATAGTCCGCACAAGACCAAGAACAGATGACCCAGAAACGGTCACTGAAAAACGCTGGATGCAGGGTGCTTCCAACTTGCCGATCAGAAAGTCACTGGGCTAGGCGTTTGTTCTACAGTGGACATCTTGTGGTGTGGCTGCCAAAATGATGACGAAGAGGATATTATTTAAAACTTTTAACTTTGAGACTGCATTTTGAGACAGCAGAGACTGCATAGATCTGCTCATATTCATCTATTTTTTTTTCTATTTTGTTTCAGAAATCACCACAGCCAGCTTCACATATGAATTACTATAAATCTCCACGCTGACGTCCTCTATTCAAGTCACATCCTAGTCCAATATCTCCTAAGTTTAATGTGAATTGCATTTTTAACTTATTTGAACTTATTTACAAGTAAATAAGCTAACTGAAATATATTTTCCTTAAGTACCTAAAATATAATTGTAAATAATATTTATGTACGAGTGAAAATGTTCATTTTTCATTAATCTTTTACTTTTTTAGTCACATTATTTTCTTGTTTTATCATACACATATTTTCTATATATTTTTATTTCTTTTGTTCAATATTTTGTATAACACTGTAATCGATATAAATTTATAAAGTGTATAAGTGTGTATTCCAAGTTTCCTCATGTAAAGAGAAAACTTAGATTTCAGTATCATTCAACTATTCTAGTTTATATCTCTCTCCAAAAATCTTTTTGTTAGCATGTTTCGTTCGTTTCATGCCCAAGCTATTCATTCAATCATTCATTTATTAAATTTTGAGACAAAAAAACTCTTCGAATTGTCAGACGCCTTACTTAGTTCTGTCTGTGTACTCATTAATATTCACATGTAAATTAATAATTGAAATGAAACAAGATATCAAAATGGCACAATTTTATTCAATCTAAAATGTACTATTAAGTAGGTATGTAGTTCATAACAGAAATAATCACAACCAGTGTTATTTAGGTAGACAAAATTTATTAAAAAGTAGGTTCGTAAAGTACTAGGTGATGGGATAATTGGCAGTGTTACTGGGCGATTTTATAAGGAAAACGTGTAAAATATATGCCTCTACTTGCAATAGAAAATTTTGTAAAAAATCTAGTGACATGGAAACAATAATATTTACAATATAATACTTACAATTATTCCTAGTTGATATAACAAGTTCATTTTAGCACTTTATTCAAAAATTCATGCTCGATAAAATTATGAAATGTGAACTTTCATTAAAATATAAATTGTAAAAAGTCATTTAATATTTAAGTACCTGTCATGACTTTTTGAAAGCTCTTTTGAACATTTTTCATTAGTTTTAGTGTCCAAAATCAATTGTGACCGATTTGACTTAAGTATATTAAGGACAATACACCACTATATCCTACACGTAAACTATAACATTATTACATTTTGTGACTAGTGAAAAATCTAGTCAAATTAAGTAGACATTTATACTATTCATAAATAATAAAGGCAAGTACGTATTTACAGAAAAAAATATAAAAGTAAATAATACATAATTAATCCATCAGAATATATAAACAAACAATCTGAAACATGTTCACGTTACGCTACAGAAATGCAATTAAAAATAAAACAATAGAGCTATAGCATCGTGCATCAACATCAACAAAACAGAACATAACTTCATCACATACACACAAATTCCTCTAAGAAGACATCACAGTCAGAGATATTACATACTAAATACTTGTGCACAATAGTCGTTTGTATTTACACTTGGACAGCGTTGTCGCTGGGTAGCGTTCTTTGTATCACGTGGAACATTGAAGGCTATCGAACACTGTTCCTGTCACGGCCTATGAAGGGACTGGCTTCGTGGTTGTTCTTTTCCAAGTTGCCGGACAGCGTGGGGTCCGGCCGACTGCGCTTGAAGAAGCCTAGCTTCCACAACGCAATGATTAACAGCACCAACACTATAAGTCCCACTATCACTGATATGATGATCACCCATAGTGGCACTTCCGTTGGCTCGCTTATCTTCAAGTCTGGATATGCGACCGTCTCCACCTGAATCAGGGAGGTAGAATAAGAAACTGTTTGTTAAACTAGCAATCAGAACAGACGACCACCAAAGATTTTCCAAAAAAAAATCTAGTAACTTGTTAAGACTAATATTTTGCTAGATTAGTATTTCTCACCGTTGTTCTATCATCAATCTGCTTGTTCTGGTGTATATTGAAATGAGCAGGAATACTGATATATGCGGTGGAGGCGATGTTCACTCGAGCTGCTCTCGCGAACTCTTCCACCAGCGTCACGTTCCACAGTCTCGCGCGTACACTGATCGTACTCGTCTTCATACGACCTAGCTTGTAGATCACGCATTGGAACTGAATGCATTTCGCTGTTTTTTGTTGGCAGTTCTGAAATAAAGAAAATATTATACATAAGTAGTATTCATCCAGTAAATTTTATTTTTAATTTTGTACTACTGCTGAGTCGCATGAGATGGCTGTTATCCATCATGCCAAAAAGTACCGAATAATACAACTGTAACTCAAAAAAAGTGGTGTGTCCTTACTTACCAAATTGATAACATGCTTCCTATCAGTATAGGCTTCAGCCTTTACAGCATCTTCATCTCGTTTCCGTCTTACTTTGTTACTGCTTGTATAAGAACTAGAACTGGAATACTCCACATATTTTCTTCTAGTTTCGTTGTGAGTCTTCTCGCTTGAACTGACGCTCAGCTTGCCAGTCGTTAGGAATGGATTGATTTCTAAGTTCTCCAGAGGCTCTGGGGCTCCTGGTCGAGTTGTCAGGTTTAGGGGATTGATTTCTCGGGCGAAACATTCCCCATTTTGATCTGAAATTAAGTATTTGTCAGTTTAGTATTAAACACTAAAACAACTTTTTGGACCCCTAAACCTGCGTAGTTGCCCAATTATCTCACCCATCACCATATTCTCAATCTTGATAATAAAGTAGCATTTAAGCAAAAATATTTTAGAAACTTTTTCTTAGCTAGTCCAATTACCACTCTATTCCAATTAGTACTAACCAGCTTCTCCATCAACAGTTGGTACATCTTCAGGGTACAGCAGCCACTTTCCTTGCGCCGTATCGGACGCCAGCTGATGAGGCCACTGTATCACCACCTGCACTGACGACACGTGCCACGGACCTTCGTTGAATACCTGTATGAAGATTTTTGATGATATTAGTTAATTTTCCAAGTTCCAAGTTATTACTGTTTTTCTAGAAACTCGCGGCTATTGGTAAAGAACGGTGAATGACAATATGGCAGAATGGCAGATAATGCCTATGGCATTAAGTACCTAGCCTACTATAAGATTGTGCGTTAAGCTTAAATAAATAAAATGAATTAATAAAGAGAATGGGTCTCTTGACATTACCAGTACCCATATTTACTTGTAGACCTATAAGTAGTTTGAACCACAATTCAGATGAAAGACAGTTAAAAAAAAACGACTTCTGTACCTGATAAGTATGGACGACTCTGGTTCCGATGTCATCAAAGTACGTCATAGCAGACTCTCCCTTTATTCCACCGCCATAGAACACTTGCTCTGGACGCGCCACGCTGGAAACATGATAAAAATTGAAATTAGAAATGTGTAATTGAGACAGATCGTATTACCTATTTTTGAAAAAACCAAAAATGCTGGTCTTGTTCAGATCAACTTGACATCACACATCAAAGAGCTATTTAACAATCTCTTCTTACCCCTTAATCAGCAATTCGGCATTTTTAATGACCAATGCCTCGACTTCCACAGGCTTCTTCCCAGGATGCAGCTCCTTAGACGTGGAGTTTGCCCATACGGTGAATACTACTGACTGGTCATTATCTTCCAACGCCCGCGCATCGAAACGCATCGTGATTGGAGGAGAACCATCTGCTTGTTTCTTAAAAGGATTTTCTAGCATACACGTTACTGTAGTCTTGTTGAAACTCGTGCATATTACGTGTTTGTCCTGAAAAACGGATAAAACTAGTTATAAAACACTATTTCAACTTTTTATTCTTGGTTAATGCATGTTACAACGCGATACATGGAACAGCTGTCCGTAGTAGCAACTGAGTAGTTAGCGTCTATTCCGATAGATGGCGGTAGCTGTACCAAAACACTGCTTTTCACTGCTGTACTGCTTTTCAGAATATTGCCAATCTTTGGTTTAATTTTCTTATGTTAAACTAGCGGGCTTCTACAATCAAGAAGTCTGTGTCTTAATGTTTAAACAGATTAATTTATATCAATTAATGTAAACTTACACTTATATTGACTGCGATATAATGTAGACTGGGAGGATGGGTGACAAACAACTGCGTTTCATAAGCAGATTCTCCATAGTTGTCCACTGAAATTGAAAGTTTGATCTCTTCCTCTTGACCCAACGTAAGAGCGTAACTCTTGTTGTCTTTGGCTGTAAACGCAAGTAATAAAAATTAGCAACCAGTAATACAAACTTAACTTTAAAAAACCTGGCGTGGCTAAAGCATTCAAAATTAGTAGTAGAGTCTCAGACTCTCAGTATTACTCACATTCAAGTAGATATAATGAGACCAATAACATAATTGATATCCTTTGAACAATTAAAAAATACATCGACCTTATGGTAAGATGTCGATGAAAAAACATAAGCAAATATAAAAAAATCCTACTCAGTGGCAGTAATAGTTTAGGGTCCACAACGAGGTCGCTAATGCAGATGGCGTCTGCTCCACAGTCGTTGAGGAAATTAGCAGTGAACATGGAACTGGCGGTGGCATTCAGTACGGGATACTGGTCCACGTCGGGAAGGGTGCCAGAAGGAGAGTACCGTGGCTCAGCATGCACTAGCATGTAGGTCAATTGGAACTGTAAACAGAAAGAACGTTGATTAGACGATTTAGGTAGAAAAACTGAACTTTTTTCAGTTTTTCACATTCGTACAAAGATGATATAATGATTGTATAAGGATGACTATTAAGGTAGTAGTAGATCAATCAAGAATTGGGTAGTTTCCAGGTTATGAAAATTAAAAATCTAATTAGTCTTATATTCTATAATCTAATTAGTATTATAGTTAGATATAGACACGTATTTTTTTATTTTCTCGTATTAAGTTGCAATACTTAGATAAAATGGCGCTAAGTTTAGGAGTGGGAGGTTGTTACGTCATAACGTGCTACAAAATATGGCATACTGTGACGTCACACAATATTTTAAATTAATATATCGTCGAAAGTATTTTATTTTGTGAGAAAAGAAAAAATACGTGTCTAAAGTTTTAAATTAATGTACCCGACGGACATTAAAATTAAATTTAGGAAACTACCCTATTAGTTCGCTTTTCACCTGTTTAAATTAACAAATCCTTTTACGGTCAATTAGGGCATAAAAATTACCTTAATCGGAGTCTGAATATCACGAGTATTATTCTTCAAATATACGATATGTTC